TGTGAGTGCATTTCTCAGACTATCCTCCCATTACTAAGTGACACATGACTGTGTTTACTGAATGACTGTTGGGTGCTGGAATAGAATCTGGGGCTTCCAATGCGTGGTTAAGGTGGGGTTGGTTTGAACAATAAGTGTCATAAGTTTTAAAGAGCTTAGATTCTATTTAGGGTGAGAAAACATAAACACATGAGAAAGTAGTACGTTAAAACAATAGCATGGGTTCCTATCATTAGACACTATACGATTATAGTGAGACCAAAGCTCTGTTTAAAACCAGTCCTACCACCTGTCCCTTTCCACCTTCTTAGGAACCTTCAGTACTGGTTACCCTTTCTCTTCTACAGTCACTCTGCATCTTGAATAGATCTTCTTATCACCTTGATACATGCTCAGCTTTTTTTCTGTTTAAAAACTATACAAACAAACCCACTTCCAGCCCTTTGTCCTTTAATTGCCACTCTTTCCTCCCCATTCACAGCCAAATGTATCTAGGATTGTCTTTACTCATTGTCTTTGTTGACAATGACGTCCGCTTCTGCCTTAACCAACTCCGAACTGAATTGTCTCCATCAGTCCACAAAACAATTCCTACTGAGTTCCTTGATGACCTTCATACTGGGCTTTTTTTAGTATTTATATCACTTTTCTGTGAAACTTGAGGATTTTGTTTTACTTCTCCGGCAACTGTTCTGTCTCTCATGTAGGATTCATCCTCATCAACACGACTGTTAGATGTTGAACTTGCTCACGGATCAGTCCTAGGCCCTTATCTCTTTCTACTTACTGACTCCCTGGACAGTCGCATCCATATCCACAACTGCAGCTACTTCCTACTTACAGATAACCTACCACTCTCAGGCTTCCCCTCTTAGCTACAGACCCATCTATCCAACTGCTTACCTCGATATTTTCCATTACATGTCTCTAAGGGACTTCGAATTCAACATATCCACAATCAAACTAGTGATTTCTTTTTGCCTCCAGATGTGGACCTTCGTCCAGTGTGATTTAGTTAAGGTCTAATTCCAACTCAGAAAGGGAAACTGTCATAAAATTGTATTTTTCAAACATATTTAAAAAATCTTATTTAATGATTGTTTTCCAACTTTCATGTATTATGAAAAGAAACCTTTGATATCTGTTGTTTGATATTCATTGAAACTACTACTATTACAGGCCTAATATATGTTGAGATTTTGCTTATGTTTCATGTGTGCTTGTAAAGAATGTTGTGGCAGATTGCATTTTCCAAAGGTGGTCACACCAGCACATTTATCCAGTCCTGTGCTTTTCTTACAGTGTAACTGACACTCCCCGATTGACAGGGACAGGGCTGTTATTCTCTTTCTTTTAGTCTGGGTGGGGGTTTATGACTGCCCTGACCAGTGGAGTGCAGTGTAAATGCTGTTATGTGATTTCTGAGCCTAGGCCATAAAAAATACAGCTTTGTTTGGCTCTCTCTCAGAACTAGTCTTTGGAACCCAGCCACCATGTTGTGAGGAGACTCAAGTCACATGGAGAGGCCACATGGACGTATTGCAGCTGCTAATCCTAGCTGTGGTCTCAGCTAAACCTGAGCAACAACTGGCAGATATATGAGGTCATGAGCCTTCAGATGATTCCAGCCTCTAACTTTCAAGTCTCCTAGCTGAAGCCTCAGGTTTTGTAGCATAGAGAAAAGCTATCCTGCTGAACCCTGCCAGAATTCCTGATCTGTAGAAACCATGAGAGATAGTAAATTATTACTTTTATATTTACATATCTAACTTTTGGATAATTTGTTATATGGCAATTAATGACTAATATAAATACTTTTTCTCATATTATCGCTAACTTCAATCTTGCCTAACAATAACTTATTTCCATCAGCTTTCTTTTGGTTCCTATTTCCTTGGTGTGTACTTATCCACACTTTTTTCTTCAAAACTTATGTTTAAATTTGTTTCTTATAAACAACACATAGCAAGATTTGGAAACATCCGTTTTGATAAAATTTTAACAGATGTATTTACCCTGATTCCTGACACATTTGGACTTAGTTAAAATATTTTCTTTTGTATTTTCTATTCGGCGTGTATTTGTTTTTTTGGTTCTTTCTCCCTTCCATTTCAGTGTTGTATGGAGAATCTATTGTGTTTTCTTTAATCCATGTTGTTTCTTTTATTGATTTGGAAATTTCTATTCTTTTGGTGATTACTCTTATATGTTTTAAAATTGTGAAATAGCGCATGCATGCAAAATAATTTGTGCAAGCATACATATACAATTTAAAGAAAATAATAGGCCAGGTATGGTGGCTCACGTCTATAATCTCAGCACTTTGGGAGGCTGAGGTGGGCAGATTCTGAGGTCAGGAGATCAAGACCATCCTGGCCAACATGGTGAAACCCCATCTCTATTAAAATACAAAAGAATTAGCCGAGTGTGGTGGTACGTGCCTATAGTCCTAGCTACTTGGCATGCTGAGGCAGGGGAATCGTTTGAACCTGGGAAGCAGAGATTGCAGTGAGCCCAGATCACACCACTGCATTCCATGCTGGGCAACAGAGCAAGACTCTGTCTCAAAAAAAAAAAAAAAAAAAAAAAAAAAAAAAAAAAAAAAAAAAAAAAAAAAAAAAAAAAAGAAATAATAAACTGATCATTTAGATACCTCTTTCTAGACCAAGAAACAGAGCATTACCATATTCCAGAATCCCCTCCCTCTCACAGATTACATCTCCTCTCCCACTCTCAACATAAAGATAGCCTGAATTCTGTATAAATTTCTTCCCTTTCTTTATTTTGTTTTGTATTCCAAAACAATGCGGTATTTAATTTTGCCTTTTTAAATGCTGTGCAAATAGAATCATATGTATACCTTTTTATGACTTGTTTCTTTTGTTTTACATCATATCTTGAGAGGTATCTATGTTGACATGGATAACTGTTTCAATGATTTCTCAAAGTTATATAATAGTCGATTGCAAGAATATGTAAAAACTGTGTTTATCATGTTGCTGGTGGATGTTTGGGTTGTTTTCTGTAGTTTTTGCTATTTTGGCAATACTGCTGTAAACATTCAACAAATCTCTGTGAGTATGTGTGCAAGGGTCTCTCTCTGGTTGCATAGACAGAGAATTCTCCTGCCTCAGCCTTCTGAGTAGCAGGGATTACAGGTGTGCACCACCATGACCGGCTAATTTTTGTATTATTATTAGTAGTAGAGACAGGGTTTTGCCATGTTGGCCAGGCTGGTCTCGAACTCCTGACCTCAGGTGATCTACCTGCCTCGGCCTCCCAAGGTGCTGGGATTACATGTGTATGTGTAAGTCACAGCGTCTGGGCTGGGACTGTTGTTTTGCTTTTATTTTTGCTGATGACATGTTCTTTTGCCAGAAGTTTCCTCTTTTTCCCCCTCTCTGGTTGACTTTAAGACTTTCTTTATGTCTCTGGTGTTCTATGGTTTCATTCTGTTGTATCAAAATATGCATTTGCTTTTATTCATCTTTCTGAAATATTGGTATATCTTTTCAAGAGGACTCATGTCTTTCATTCTAGAAACTCTATATCCATTATATTTTCATATTGGCTTTTTCTCTTTCTTTTGAGCTTGGCTATATATTTGTGTGTGTTTGTGTATATATATGTGTGTGTGTGTATATATATATGTAGGTATATATATACACACACGTATGTATATATGTATGTGCACCTGTGTGTATATATATGCACATATGTATATACATACATACAAATACACAGATATTTATTTTAAGTCATTATATTTTGTTTAGCATTTCTGTGTTTGAAGTGGAAAGGGATTCAGCTCAATCTCCATGTTATCTGACTATTCTCTTAGGTTTCACAAATGCAATATTATACTGTTTTATCTAGTATTCCCCAAATTATGCTTCTTCTAAACTCATTTCCAATCTGTGTAGCTCAGGGGGAAGGAGAAATTTCTGATGCTGACCCATAGAAGGAACTTACCTCTGGCATTAATAGTCTAGGATTTACATCTTAGCCCATAAGTCTGAACTGTTGGTGGTCATGCATCAGTGGTAATATGGTTCTTTGGTGGAATAGAGGGATGTGGAGGTAAACAATCAAGTAAGAGCTAAAACAATCCCTTAAGACATTGAAGGAGAAAAAAGAACCAACTACACCAACTATGGTATAGTTGTCTATCCCCAACTACTGCGCCTTTCAGATGTTAGGACCTAGCCAAAAACGAAAGAAAGAAACATATTCCCATTATTAGTGACTATAGAGGCATCTTATGAGTAAGGTTGGACCATTGAAGAACTAGGTCCAAGAAACCACAAGCTATTACTGTTTCTTTTGCATATCTTTTGTCACATTGACTTGTGTGTGGTCAGTATTTATGTTTTGATTACAGAGAGCTGAAGTTAACAAGACTTGATTTGAAATGTCAAGTTGTGGCTTCCTCTGTTTTTTCAGTTTCCGCTGCGAGAAGGCTGCAGTCTATGTACAGAATGGGTGATTGTCCCTGTAAGCATGCACACATATATTTATGGAGCAAGTGGGAGGTCTATATTATAAGGACCATGCACCTCATATAAATGGAATAGGCACCCGTAAGTGAAACTTTTTCAGAGAAGTGGAAATAGAGCATGCAAGGAAGAAGACAAGAAGAAATAAGAAAATAAAATGCTTAGTCAGATTGAGTGCCTCACACTCACGTTTAATTTGATTTTCATCTCTACTTTATAAGCTGTTCTTATTCTGTTGAGGAGTTCACACCCCAAAAGATTTGACTGTAGATTTGGCCAGATTTGTGTGCTTCAATTCTGGGTAGATGTGTAAACCATTTTTAGTTTCTAACTGTCTTTTTTTGGCCTCTTGTGTGGGAGGTATGAGGTACAAGTTTTATCAATGGTTTATTTGGCTAGCACCACATACCATGGCATATAGAAATTCTATTTAGAGACATGGAGAGAAAACGTTTGGTGTTTTACTCACAGACAACTCTGTCTTTCATTTTTATCTCTTTGTAGCTTTGAAGCTCAGCAAAGAAGAGAAATCCATTGAGAACAGTCTGTAAAGGTAAGTGTATTTATTACATGGCCTTGACAAACATTGCCTTTACAACATTGATTTTTCTTTTATTCAGAGATTTAAACACTTGGATTAAAGATATAGCTGACAGGATAACTTCCTTAACCACCTGATTGTCCTCCCTCTTAGGCAAAAGTGCTGAGCAATAGTTAGCAGAGAGCAGGAGGAAATAAAATGATGTGTTGAGGGTAGACAAATGCAATTGTGTGCTTGCTGACTTTTGCTTTCTTCTCAGCAGTTAAGACATTCCAGTGGAGCTAAGTTTACTAAGATTAATGCTAGATGGAGAAAGAATGCACTTGTACCACTTCTGGCCAATAGTTAAATAAAACTAGCTGGCCAAATAAAGCATTTAAAATAAAATGCAGAGTGGCATTTCAATTGGGTTGGATGAAATTTATCGCAAAAGTCAGTTGTGCAGTTGCATGGAAGAGCTAGTTCTGTAGAAAGAAAAGAGCCACTGAATTTGTTGTAGCTAATTTCATTCCACCCAGTCACTCTGAGCCCTAAATGAATTACAGGAAATGAACTTCCAAGCTTGAAGCAATGGGAAAAGTACCTACTTGGCCTCTTGTGAAACATTACAATCAAGTTGGTTTTTACATGGAAAAATGTAATTGTTTCCTCTTTGCTAGGTATATTTATAAGCATATCTCTGTACAGCATTGTTCTTTGATTCATTGTTTAATTTCTGTTCTGCATGAAGTATTTTAATTTAAAGAATTCATTCTGGGCAATTATAGGGCTGCAGCTTCGTCAAGAGTCTTTGGTGGCCAGGGTGAAATATGCTATAATTTTACGTTTGTTTTCATCATAAATTACATTTTTGACACTTTTAGGATTTTTTCTGTCATTTTTATTACAGCAATCATGACTGTGACCGCTTTAGTTAAAGTTGAAAAGCCGTTTTGATTTACCTTATGCTTTAAGTTCTTCCTAAATTCATGACAAATCTACTTCTGGGCTGAATTTTTCATGTTTATTTTGAGGGTGGAGAATTTTATAGGGGTATCAGAGAAAACCCCTTTTAGATCATCAAAATACGAGTTATAAAAAACAATTCCCTTTTCTTAGGATTTGCTTTGGGTCAACTAAACTCTGGCGCGTGAAAACTGGTTGGCTTGGAATTTTACCATAATGGTTGAGCATCAGTGAAGAAAATACTATCTTAAGCAGTAGATAATTCTTATTTTCAGCCATGTAACTATATGTCTCTGAACCGTTGAACCACACCTTGGAATAAAGAAATAGTTGACAGCTTTTAGAAATAAATGCTCAGAAATAATTGTTAGTGGTGATGTAGCCATCTTGACAACTTTGTAATCTTTTGGCACAGCCATGATGCTTCCATTCCTCTTGGGGGATGTTTTCACACAGGCGCAGTCCATTTTCTCTACTCTCAATGAAAATCTTTTGTTGAATTGGTACTCTGGAATCGGACACAGGTTTAGATATGATTTGGCTTTTACTAGCTATTGGACTGTGGACAACTTATTCACCCTCTTAGAATCTCAGTTTCCTGATCTTTGAAGTGGGGATAATACTGTTTTTGGCTTCATATGGTTGTGGAGATTAAATGAAGTATTATGTGTCAAGAGCTTAGAAGAAGTCCTGGCCCAAGATAAGTGCTCAGTAGATGTGAGCTGCTGCTGTTCTTGTTAATAGCATCATCATTATCATCCTCATCATCAGCAGCAGCCCAGCAGCATCCTTATGAATTTATTCATTATATATTTTTAGAAGTCTATTCCTTTTAGAAGTTTCAGGATAATATTTTTAAAATAAACATGTTGTTACCAAAGAAGGGAAAATTCTAATTGGTCCTGGGAATCAAGTGAAAAGGTAACTTTCAGGTAATATAGGAAGTGAGGCCTCTGGAAGTGAAACGTTGTTAGGCTGAATTTTTTTAGGAATCAGGAAAAGTGCCTTCTTTGGTTGTCATCAATTAACTAATTAATAGTCTTAAGAAATTAGCAATGGACTGCTAGTTAGCTTCTTCAAGAATTTTTAAAGAAAGCCTTGGTAAGTATGGAGGAACCCCCCCCTCCAACTTTTTTTTCTGTCCTGTATCTGTTTTTCCTTCCTCACAGCACCTTTATTTCTTTTTGAGGTAATTAGGCTAGTGGAACTATAACCAGGGGCCCTACCCAGGGGCCTGCACTCAGCCTGTGGATGGGTGTATGACCGCAAGCTTGGCTAAGTAAATGCTCTTTTTTTGGAATTTGATTCTCTAGCTAAAAGATTCTCCATTGTCCTAGGTGGGCATTCTGATCTGCCAGTATGTACTATGAGACCACTGTTGCCTCTGTGTCTGTCTTAGCTAGTCATGGCCTCCAAACCTTATTTTCCATTTTGCCATGGATTTGCTGAGACTCCAGTATCCCTCCGATAATTCTTAAATTAGCCAATTGGTTTCTGCCACTTGCAACCACAGAACCTTAACTGATAGTGTAGTCTATTCACTAGTGAGCTAGATTTGGAATAAATATGGTATGTTTGGAGGTTTACAATTAAAATGTCACTCATTACTTTCTTTCATCATGTGTAAGTAGCTCAGTGTTTTGCAGTAGGTTACAGAAAGTACAGAGTTCTTTATTAGACTCTCAGAAATGGGTTATTTTGCTGAACTTCCCAGTACTCCTGTGTTTGGTACAGAGAAGTCACTCTTGGCTGCTTCTCTTAGCTCTCAAAGAATGTGTATGTATGTGGGGGTAGGGCAGGAAATGAGAAGAGAAGTCATCCTTCCCAATTTCTGGGGCCCTGGTCTCTTTGTGTCATGGGGATTGTGAAGGGACTGCGATTTTCTTCTGTTTACCCCTAGCAACCCCAAACACAACAGGTGTACTCTTTAAATATTTTTCTACATTTCCCTGAATTTTTATTTCTCCTTTGAACACTGGTCTTATCCGACTGAACACCTTCTTTTCAATGATGTGTAAAAAGTGATTGAAAACTCAATTACTTCCATTTCTGGCATTGCTTGTGATTTTCTGAGAATGGAATGGGCAAGTTTTCTCTGTTTCCCCTTGTGTCTTGTTGGTTGACTACTTCTACGCTCTGTGCAGTGCCTAGAACAAAACTAGTTAATGCCTCCCCAACTTTTTTTTACAGGGACATCAATTTTGCACTCCTACTGTGAATAAATAGTACAACAGTATTATATGGTGAGAAGTGGTGAGAAGAGCCTTAGCAGGGTTATTAGGAAACATTCCTTCTAGTTTTGGCTCTGCCATTTGCTAGCTTTGTGACTCTGTGCAAGATTCCTAACTTTCATTAAGATCCCAGGTTCCTCACCTATAAAATGAGGATAACTTTTGCCCTATCTATTGTACACGGCTGTTTTGAGGATCACATAAACACAATATATATGAAAGTTCTTAGTAAATTTTAACAAATCCATAACATCAGGGTATTACTCTCATCATGCCATGAATATTTCTTAAACAGATGAAAATTTGAGGAGCTTGTTTTAGAAGGCTGAGTATGAAAAGGAGACAAATTAAACAACAACAACCACCCTGTATACTGCTTGTGCTGGGTATTCATTTGTGCTTCCAGCTCCTTTCTCTTCTAAACGGCTCTGCACCAAGGGCTTAACCTCTACTGCAGGCATTCCCTGGGCTCCCTTGTTTGCTGGCTTTTTGTTGGATTAGCCAAGGGAAGGAACTGGACGAAGATCTGGGAACACAAGTTTGCAATATTCTTTCCTACTTTCTTCCCTCCAGCACTGTGGGTTGGTAATGGCTGTATCCCTTTAAGGAAGGCTACAGTTGCTACAGACCTCTCTTCTGCAGCTACAGCTCTTTCCACTATCTGGTAACTGCTTCTTCCCTTTGCCCCTTTGAGTCTGGAGTGTTAATGGAATTTTTATGAACTCCAGGACACTAGACCATTCCTTAGTGGTCTTCCGTTAACCCTGCCTTCACCCCAGGTGAAGATGTCATCTCCTTCCTACTGTGACCTTTATTGTACAAAGGAACTTTTTAATTTAATATTTTTCACCATTTTCAGCTCAATTCAGCAAATATCTTTTTAGGATTTAGAGTGTTCCAGGGAAAAAGTAAGTCATTATTGTACACTTTTAAGAAATGGACATTTTGGTGGCATAGTTGGAAGTATTACATCAATTTTTTTTTAAAGCAAGTTTTGTTAAATTGAAAAGCTTTATATTAACCCCAATATATAAAGAAATATCATATTGTACTTATATATGAGTTATCTTTTACATTTTATTTTTTTCAAAGCAATATATCTACATTGTTTAAGTAAAACAGCATTAAAAAGCAAATATTTAAAAACTGCAGCATCTTTGCCTTCTTTCTACCTCTCTCTGGATTGCTTCCCCCGAATTAGAAACTTTCAACTCTGATATTTCTGGTGTTTACTTCTTTTTTTCTAAATAATATACTTATATCATTTTTTCCCTAATTTATCAATTTTAGCAATAGCTCTCTGATACTTTCCACTCTTAGCACTTCTGGTCCCCTTTGCCTCCTGACATAGTTCAATTATAATTTTTATTTAAATCAAGAGGTAATACTTATATTATCATGATTATGTAATTTTTTTCTGCTGCTAAGCCAAATGGTATTGGTTATGTTTTCTTTAACATAAATTTTTTTTGTCTTTTTTGGAATTAATATGTGCTTTTAAAAAAATTTGCCCACTTTAGGCATCTACCTTATAAGTAACAGCATCTCAGTTTTACAGGTGGGTCATATTAGTATTTCCATTTTATAATTGTAGAAATTGAGACTTAAGGCTAAGTATTTTTTCCAAGGTCACATAGCTAATAAGTGTTAGAACTGTGAGAAGACACCAGCCAGTCTGTTCACAGAGCCCGAATTCTTAATCATTATATGACTTACAGATACTGTCACTTTAGTTATCCTAATGGCTACTTTACAAAAAATTCCTGGGGTCTGCCTTCAGAGATTCAAAATCAGTGGGGTAAGATGGGGAACCAAGAATCTGTATTGTGAAAAGCT